ACACACACTGTGCTAACCCCCCTGCACGCACAGGCACGCACACACACACTGTGCTAACCCCCCTGCACGCACAGGCACGCACACACACACTGTGCCGACCCCCCCACATGCACACACACACCTGGGCCTGTAGCAGCAGCAGGTGGTTTCGAGCGGGAATAATGTTGCAGGTTTGTGTCTGGCAAAGCAGTGACTGACAGCTCTGCCACCGGAAGCCATTGTGGCCTTTTTCAGGGGACTCATGGAGAAACACTGGCTGCCCCTCAGGGAAGCAGCACTGGCCAGGGTAGCCGGCAGCCAGGGCAGAGGAGACAGGATGCTTGGTGACTGCCCACTGCTGGGAATCTGGCTGCATGCACTGTGTCGGAACTTACTAGTCCAGCCCCTTGTTCTACCGGGAAAACCGGGCCCGGAAGGCAGAGGGGGGCCCTGTCACTCAGGAAGTGAATGAAGAGCCAGCATCTTGCTGGCCTGGGATTCCACACCAATTTCCCTCTCGCCCGAGAAACCAGCCCCAAACCAGAGCAGCTGAGGTAACCCAGATGGACGCAGGTGCCCAGGGGCCTCCTCCAGTCACTCGGCCAGCCCGGGGCTGGCAGGAGGTGTGACCTCTGGAAGGGATGGGGGTTGCCCCTTTCCTCACGCCTGGTCTGTAAGCAGGAGGGGAAGGCAGTGGCCATCAGGTGCCGTGAGGGTAGAAGGAGGCTGTCGTGGATTGAATTATGTCCCCCAAAAAATGTGTGTCTCAGTTTGGCTGGGCCATGAGTCCCAGTATTGTGTTGTTGTCCTCCATTTTGTAACTGTAGTTTTAAAAGAGGTTTAGGGTGGGATTCTGTAACACCCTTACTAAGATCACATCCCTGATCCAGTGTAAAGGGAGTTTCCCTGGAGTGTGGCCTGCACCACCTTTTATCTTATGAGGAATAAAAGGAAAGGGAAGTGAGCAGAGAGTGGGGACCTCATACCACCAAGAAAGCAGTGCTGGGAGCAGAGCACATCCTTTGGACCTGCGGTTCCTGCGCTAAGATGCTCCCAGACCAAGGGAAGACTGATGACAAGGACTTTCCTCCAGAGCTGACAGAGAAAGCCTTCCCCTGGAGCTGAAGCCCTGAGTTTGGACTTGTAGCCTACTGGACTATGGGAGAATAGATTTCTCTTTGTTAAAGCCATCCACTTGTGGTATTTCTGTTAGAGCAGCACTAGATGATTAAGACAGATCTCAACGCAAGGCTCTGTCCGCTTGTCCTCAGCCGAGAGTCTCCCAGAAAGTGTCGGAGTGCCCCTCATCTTTGAGACGAACCTGCCCCCAAGAGACCACCCACAGCCCTCCCGCTCCTGGCGTTGGCTTTTGCTGCTCCATCTGCCTGGAGTCCTGATGGCCTGGATTTAAGTCTTGCCTTCCTTCCAAGCTTTCCTCTGATTATGACTCCTTAAGTCTGCCCACGCCCTCCTCTCGTGGCCGGGACCCTGCCTCCCTCTGCCACTCACTGTCAGCTCCTGGGCAGGATCACAGTGACTCATGCCCACACCCCAAAGGGCCCGGCCTGGCCCAGCACACGGAAGTCGCTGTGAGTGGTTCCCCACTGCTGGGGCGAGTTTTTATTGTTTTTGATAGAGCCGTGAGGAATAGGTCTCGAGGGGGCTAGTCTGCTGAGCCCCACTGTGTGCCAGGGTCTTCACATGCACTGTTGTACTTCATCCTCGTGGCTCTTCTGGATGATTCCCCCGGTTTCACAGGGAGGAGGCCGTCTCAGGGAATGGTGGCAGCGTGTGCTTATGGAGCATTTGCCGCAGGCCAAGCCCCGGTCTAAGCTCTCAATTTGTATTAATCATTTAATCCTCTCAGTGGCCCTCTGAGGTAGGTTGTACGTATCCATTGTACAGATGAGAAAACCGAGGCACAAGAGTGCTTGAGTAATTTGTTCAAGGTGAATGCCGCTAGGAAGTGGTGTGGCTAGGACTGGAACCCACCCACTCTGGCTCCAGAATCTTTCCTGGGCCCTGTGCTGACCTGCCCAGGCACGCGGTGCATGGATGGGGCTGGAGTTTGGTTGGTCTGACTCCGAAGCGCACAAGAAGTACCCAACCTGTCCACCTTGTTGGCTGCCTGTGGCTTGTAATTGTCCTACACCTGGACCTGGGAACCCATGAAGACGGCAAAGGGAGCCGGGGCCACCCCAGATTCTGGGGCCACACCTCCTGCCGGCCCCGGGCTGGCCGAGTGACTGGAGGAGGCCCCTGGGCACCTGCGTCCATCTGCGTTGCCTCAGCTGCTCTGATTTGGGGCTGGTTTCTCGGGCGAGAGGGAAATTGGCGTGGAATCCCAGGCCCACAAGATGCTGGCTCTTCATTCACTTCCTGAGTGACAGGGCCCCCCTCTGCCTTCTGGGCCCAGTTTTCCCGGTAGAACAAGGGGCTGGACTAGTAAGTTCCGACACAGTACGTGCAGCCAGATTCACAGGGGTGGTGTTGCATGGGGGAGGGATGCTGGAGCACCTGGGATCACAGCATGGTGGCAGTCCCCAGGGCAGATAAGGTCTGCATTCAGGCTGATGTCTTCGGGAGCCTGGGTGGGCAGGGCCGTGGGTCCTGCTCCTCTGAAGGGGTTCAGTTTGTCCTTGGGGCCCAGCTGTGGCTCCCTCAGCTGGCCTCGGTGATGGGCGGGGTGGTTGTCTCACCAGCAGCCTCTGCTGACCAGCGCCTTGGCCCCCAGGTTTTCGACGCCGGGGAGATGTTTGGGATAATGCAGGTGGAAGAGGATGGGAGTGAGGACGAGGAGATGCGGGAAGTGCGAAGGAAGGGACCCAACCCCGGCATCGATCTCTCCTACAAGGTCATTGTGACCAGTGAGGTCGGCTTGCAGGCGGCCGACCCCAACAGGTAGGACCGGGAAGCTGGCGTCCCACCACCCCATGACTCGTGGGGCCAAGGCCGTCACCCTTGGGGATAGAGCAGTCATGAAAATCACACACACGCTTCCTGTGTACACACTCCATCCAGTCACCCCACGCCAGGCTGTGGCCTGTGCGCAGCAGGCTGTGTCTGCAGCTCGGTGCCAGGGGAATGGCAGCCCAACACGGTTTCATGGCGCTTAGGACTGTTGTGAAGGAGCCCTGCTGGTGCAGTGATTAAGCACTCAGCTGTTAACCTAAAGGCCGGCACTTTGAACCTACCACCCGCTCCTCAGAAGAGAGATGTGGCAGCCTGCTTCTATAAAGATTATCGCCCTGGAATCGCTATGGGGCAGTTCTACTCTGTCCCGTAGGGTCGCTGTGAGTTGGAATCAAGTCCACAGCAGTGAGGCTTAGGGTCGAGAGAGCAGCTCCTCCACGGCCTCACTGACGTGCATGTTAGAAGTTCTGGTTTTGCTGGAGGAGTCGGTCACAGAGGGGAAGGACTGGCCTGAGATCATAGCTGGTTCACGGTGTGGCTGCTGGACCAGGTCAGTCTTTCTCCTGAGCCTGGGCTTTTCTGGGGACCCCTGGGCCTCCTGCCGTCCTGCTGAATCTGAGTCTCGGGGTGGGGCCAGCTCCAGCAGGTTCTCTTGGCACCTAACCAACCAGACCACTCTGGGTGGTACAGTTAACAGTCTCAGCCGCTAACTGAAAAGCTGGAGGTTTGAGTCCACCCTGCGGCTCCACAGGAGAAAAGCCTAGTGGTCTACTTCTTGAAAAATCAGCCACTGAAAACCCGATGGAGCGCAGTTCTGCTCTGACACATGGGCTGCCAAGAGGCAGTCAGTGCAATGGCTGCTGGGTTTTGTTTCTTTTTTTCCTGAGATTTTGCCCAGGAAGGGTGAGGAGCGTGGGCTAGTCACTTCCTCCCGTGAAGACACCAAGGGCCAGCACCGGCCTGGGCCTCACCTGGGGTCGTGGGGTGTGGGCAGAGCCAAGACTGGACCCTGGGCTTTCTGCCTCCTGGGCCTGAGTGGCTGCTGAGCCAGGTCGGGGTGCAGGCCCTCTGCTGAGGGTTTGTCAGAACCCTGAGGCAGAAAGCCCCGACGGCCTCAGAGAGTCACTGGCCCGTATCCATTCAGAGCCCTTCAGGGAAGGCCCTTCAGGAAGGTTCTGGTCACCTCCTCTGCGGGGCTTTGCCTGCCCCTTTCCCAGCCTGAGAGCGGCTGGAGTGGCCACACAGATGATCACAGGCAGCCAGGACCTCCACCCACGCTCCAACTCGGACTTGCAGGCTCTCCTTTCCCACTGAGCTCGGGGCAGCACCTGCCCTGCATGCCTGCCTGTTCCCGCCCCGCGCTGGCTCTGGACCCAGGTGCAGGAATCACTGTCTCAGTCCTGCACACACGCTACTCTTGGGTGGGGGCGGGGACCTGGAGCCTCTCCCTGGTCTGTAAACAGCAGGGGAAGGCAGTGACCCACTAGGTGCTATGAGGGTGGATAGAGATCTCAGCACAAGGCTCTGCCCACTCGTTCTCACCCGAGAGCCTCCCTGAAAGTCCTGGAGTGTCCCACGTTTTCAAGGTGAACCTACCGCACCCACCCACAGCCCTCCTGCCCGTGGGCTGGCCGCCAGGCCCCCAACCAAGCTCCTCCATCCTCCCTCCCTGCATCCTGCTCTGTGCATCTGCCCAGGTCACCTGGGTGCCCAACACCCAGCGCCTGGCTCCATGCTGCGTCATGCAGCTCCCCAAGCACAAAGCAGGGATTAAAAAAAACCAAACCCATTGCCGTCAAGCCGATTCCAACTCATAGCGACCCTTAGAGTTTCCAAGGCTGTAATCTTTACGGAAGCTGACTGCCGCATCTTTCTCCCACGGAGTCACCGGTGGGCTTGAACTGCCGACTTTTCGGTTAGCAGCCAAGCCCTTATCCACTGTGCCACCAGGGCTGCTTTATACAAAAAAGCTCACTAATATAAGCATGAGTTATGAGGCACAATAGAATAAATGCTTCTGAGCTCACCACCCAGCCTATGCACTGGGGTGCTGCTGGTCCCTCTAGAGGGAACAGCCACGGAGCCGGCGAGTCTGATTTGCCTCAGGCCACTAGCTCCTGTGACTCTAGGCCCCCCAATCCCCCAGGGTCTCAGGCAGCCCTTGTCTTTATAGCGGGGGAATGCGTCCTCCTCTTACTGAGGTGTGGGCTGCAGTGTCCTGCTGTTTGACCCCTGAGGCTTCCCCCAGAAGGGCCCTGTTACTGCCAGGCTGTTCCCAGAAGGGGCAGGAGCGAGCCGGCTCCTTTGGCCGAGCACCTGCCGTCCATCGGGCCTCGGGGTACAGGAGGAGCAGGCCCCACCTCCCGGCAGCTTAGATCCAGCGGAGGCGCTCGGTAATTACAGCCATTGCTGTGGTGTTTAGCAAGTGCCGCGCACGTCGGCACGTTGCAGGTTTTTCTCATTCGGTGCTTATGTCAACCCAGTGGGAGGAGGTGGGGACCCCTACTGCCCCCACTTTAAAGGCATGAAGAGGGAGAGGAACTGCCCGAGGCCACTTAGTGTATGGTCGACAGAGCCAGGGTCTCATCCCAGGCCTGCCGGACACTTAAGCCGAGCGTGATGGTGGGGCTGGGTGCGGGCCCAGGCCACAACCCACCGTCCCGCTTCCCTCTGGCTCCTCTCTCCTCCCCAGCAGCTGCCCGCTGCCTCACAGCTGCCACACCCTGTGCCCACAGCATCTTCCTCATCGACCACGCTTGGACGTACCGCGTGGAGCATGCCCGCCGGCAGCTGCAGCAGACGCCTGGGCTGCTGCACCGAATGGCTAACCTCATGGGCATTGAGTTCCACGGTGAGGTGCCCAGCGCTGAGGCCGTGGCCCTGGTCCTGGAGGAGATGTGGAAGTTCAACCAGACTTACCAGCTGGCCCACGGGGTGAGCCGCAGCGGGCCCTGGCACGGGCAGGGCACACACCGGCCTGGGCCTCACTGCTGGTGCCCTCTGGCTAGAGGGGGTGGGACCACTTAGAAACCACCTCGCTCCCCGTAGCCCCATCACATCATGTGACCCTGCCCTGGGCTGGCCAATGCCGGGCACCCCAGAACCAGATGTCACCCAACCTTTGTGCTCACAGGACACCACCCCCTCAGACCCGTAAACTTGGGCCCAGATGGCCCAGCTGCCCCTTTCCTGGCCTCTCTAGCCTGGGACATGGCCTGAGTCCATCATCCTTTGAACCATCCTTAGTGGTTCCTGGAGCCCCTTCCAGCACATGTCCTCGGGCCTTCAGCACCCAGCCCTTTGTGCGCCATCCCCCGGGACTGTTAGCTTGGGAAAAGATGAATGCTTGTTTCTCATGAGCTCAGTGTAGACGTTGCCTCCCCCAGGAAGCCCTCCCTGAATACCAGCCCCAGCTGCATCCCCCATACACAGAAAACCAAGCACACCCCTGTAGCTGCTGGGTTTCCTTCCTTGTTCCCTGCCTGCAGCCCCGGCTCCTCCTCACCCAAGTTACCACACTGCATTGCACTGGCCCGCTGACCTGTGTGCAGGGGCAGGGCCGTGTTCTAGGTAGATGTAGTGGGGTGCGTGTGATGACCTTGAAGTGCGGAGAGCTGGGCATGGGTGGGTGCCTGGTGTTTGGGTGCGTGAATGGGTGGGTAGCGAGGTGTGTGGACAGAGGACAGATGGGCAGGCCTTGCTGACGTGGCTGTGGGGTCCCCCCACAGTCGGCGGAGGAGAAGGTGCCGGTGTGGTACGTCATGGACGAGTTTGGCTCACGCATCCAGCACGCAGACGTGCCCAGCGTCGCCACGGCCCCCTTCTTCTACATGCCTCAGCAGGTGGCCTACACGCTGCTGTGGCCCCTGAGGGACCTGGACACTGGCGGTAAGTCAGACCCCGCCACCACCCTGGAGGAGGGCCTGGGCCCAGTGTCTGCCCACCACCCCCTGACAGGCATGTCTTGGTGCAGAGGAGGTGACCCGGGACTTCGCCTACGGAGAGACAGACCCCCTGATCCGGAAGTGCATGCTGCTGCCCTGGGCACCCACCGACATGCTGGACGTCAGCTCTTCCACCCCTGAGCCACCTGATGCACACTACCAGGTGTGACACCACCTCCAGCCCAGCCCATCTGCTTGGGCTGCTTCTGGAACATTCTCAGATCACCCAGCATTACTGACCCCTGGCTGGCTGCCAGGCCCAGCTGGTTACCAGAGGAAGTGGAGGAAGGTTTGGGGAGCATTTGAGGGATGAAGGGCTCAGTGGAAATGAGCCACCTGTGGTCCCACAGCTCGGGCTCGGGCCGTACCCGACCCCAGGAGCCTGATGCCCGATTCCCCTTTTAGGTCGGTGAGGGTAGGCTTTAGCGGGCGGTGCAGTCCGACTGGCTGTGAGTCCCCCTCAGTCCCAGCGCACAAGGCCCGTTTTCTCCTCTCAGGATACCTGCCTTGCTGGGGGTGTAGAGATCCTGTGTTCAAGTGCTCCATGGGACGCGGTAGGGCACTTGACAAGTGATCTTTAGGACTGTCGCTGTCATTAACAACAAAGGCACTTTCAGTCCGCGGGCAGCCGCTCAGTCGGTGCAGGAGGCAGCAAGGAGCGAGCGAGGCAGGGCGAGGCCAGGGGCAGGGAAGGACCACAGCCACTGCCAGAACTGGGCAAGACTGACGAGGTGGGCGTTAACGCCTCAGGCTCTCCCTGCCCTGTGGTCTCCTGCCTCTTCACCCTGCTGGCTGGGCTCAGCGGAAACCAGTGGGTGAGAGGCCTGCCCTTGGTCCTCTGTGGCGCACTCTGCTGACAGCAGCTGTGCAGTCGATCCTGTTTTTGCCTTCCTTTGGTGGTAAGGAAACTGAGGCACAGAGTGACTTGGTCAGGACTGGAGGTCGCATAGCTGGCAGACAGCTGGAATCCACAGCCAAGGGAGGTGACAGCTGTGGGCGAGGCCACAGACTTGCCCCCATGTTTGAAGCCGCCCTGCCCTCCTCACCAGCACATCAGACTCACTCAGTCTGCCTCTGAGGCTTTTCGAGAGAACTGAGTTGTCTCACATTAGAGCAGAAGGCCTCGTAGCGTTGGCTGTCTCTGTGAGTGCTGCTGACTGGGAGGGGGGGCCCTAGCTGTGGCCCTGATGGCACTGTTTACCGTGAATCTAAGTCAGTGGTGATTGAACGAACCACGGTGAAGATTGCGTCACTGTTTTGGGTAGGTGCTTAGGAGTCTGAACGGGTGAGTGAAGCCCCAGGGAATGCAAAGGGGCCAACACTCCTTGGTCTTGAGTTTGCTCTTCAATGGAACATAAATTAAAGTTGGTCTTTTTTCTTGAGAAGCTGGGAACCGGCCGGGTGACAAATTACTCTGAAGCATAGTGGTTTAAAACAGCGGTGTTCATTGCCTCGCACAGTTTTTGTGGGACAGGTTCAGGAGTGGCTCAGCCGGGCCGGTCCGACTCGGGGTACCTCACCAGGCTGCGGTTTTGATACTGGCCGGGGCCGCTGTCCTCTGAGGCATGCCTGGCTGGAGGAGCTGCTCCCCTGGCGGCTCGCTCACACACCTGGCAAGTCAGTGCTGGCTGGGGGCTGGAGGCCTCAGCTCTGCATCAAGTTGTCCTCTCCACAGGCTGCTTGAGTGACCTTTCAGCATGGTGGCCGCCTTCTCCCAGGGGGAGTGATCTGAGAGAGCAAGGAGGAGGCCACTATGTCTTTTATGATCTAGTCTTAGAAGTAACACCCTGTCACTTCCGCTTCTTTTCCGTTTATTAGATGTGAGGCGGTCAGCACAGCCCATACTCGAGGAGGTGAATTGAGCTCCACCTTTAAAGGGAGAGTCACAGAGTTAGTGGACCTCTTTTAAACCACTGCTCTGCCCAAGTCTGGACCAGCCTTGGGGCTCCTCAGACAGGCAGCCCCTCCTGGGGCAGGGGTGGCACGTTCTCGGCGCCTGTGGTTTGGAGGCACGGTGAGAAGATTCAGACTGCTGTTCCCGTCGTTCTTTTGAAGCAAAACTGGGGTGTTCTGCACCCAGAGGGCCTCGAGCCCCACAATCCATTTGTAGAAAGGCCGAGTTCCTAAGGGGCACTGGGTTTTTTTCTGGAACACTGCTCCTCACCGCCTTCCAGTGCCTGAGCGAGGTGTGGAGCTCAGGTGCTGGCCGGTGGGGGGTCTGCAGAGCCCCGTGGCGGGCGGTCTTGGGTGTGGGGTGGGGGTAGGCAGAGGCCTCTGGATGCTGGTGGCTGCAGCATCTGTGAGAGGTCCTCCCTGAGGTCCAGGTGTGTCCAGGGGGTTGCTGGGCAGGTGTGTGGCCCATGCCATCCACCCTGATGTGCCAGGTGGGGGAGGCGTGTGTTCATGCTTTAAGGTCGGTGTCCACCCCTGGTGTTCCCTAGGCCATCTTGGAGGAGAACAAGGAGAAGCTGCCGATTGCCATCAGCCCAGCAGCGTATCCCCACGAGCACATCTTCAAGTACGTACCCTTCTCTGGCCCAGGTCTGACTGTCCCTAGTTGCTTTGCTCCCCCCTCAGCTGGTCTGTCAGGGCAGTGCTGGCACAGAGGGGTGGGAGAACCCACCGCCCTTCCGGGGGCTGGCAGCCTGGGCATGGCGGTGACAGACACCAGGGTCCCGTTCTGGGACCTCAGAGAAAACACCACAGAAGTAGAGAAAACACAGAAGTGAGAGGGAGAGAAAGCAGATTCTCAGCTCTCCCCTGACAACGGCGGATAGGCCGGGGAAACACTGGTGGCCAGCAACGGGAGCTCCAGGCGGAAGGGTCAGCCTGACCTGGGTCCCACTCTCACCCCTGTCCTTGGGGCTGCCTGGGACTGTCTGCTCCCTGGGCATGAGGGTTCAGTCCTGGGAATGGAAGACCAGCCAGGCCTGTGTGCACCACAAACCAGCTCCAAGAAAGGGCATCCGGGCAGCCAGGGCCCTTCCCAGTATCTGCAGGTGGGTCTGGTGGGTTACACGAGGGCAGGCAGGCCCCACGCGGAAACAGGTGCATCGGCCTGCTCTGGGGCCACAGCGTTCCCAGGTGAGGGTGCGGAGATACGGAGAGGGAGGCCGGCTTGGTGTAGAGCAGGGCTGGGAGACAGGCCTCACCCTGGCCAGGGACAGAGACCAGCCTCAGCCTTCTGAGGGCGTTGGCCTGCCAAAAGGATAGGCGGAGGCCACCACCATGCCCCCGAGCTGCTCTCTGGCCCATCACAGTTGTGCCCCAGGGGGGTCTCCAGGCAGAGCACAGGCGGAGGGGGGCGCCGTCCGCAGCTCAGCATGGGCTTCTCCGCAGGGTCTGCACCGACGTCCACCAAGTGCTCAGCCACCTGACGCACCCACGCTTCACCTTCACCCCAAGAGAGGCGGATGCTGACATCCTCTACAACTTCTCCCACTTCAAGGACTACCGGTGAGGCCTTGCGCGGCCACAGACCCCCACCCCGGGCCCATGGCTCCCCCATGCACTGAGCCTCTCGCTCCGCCTCGGCCCACAGGAGGCTCAGCCAGGAGCGCCCAAACGTGCTGCTGAACCAGTTCCCCTGCGAGAACCTGCTGACGGTCAAAGACTGCCTGGCTTCCATCGCCCGCCGGGCGGGGGGCCCCGAGGGCCCCCCCTGGCTGCCTCGCACCTTCAACCTGCGCACTGAGCTGCCCCAGTTCGTCAGCTGCTTCCAGCAGCGGGAGAGGCGGTGAGCCCCACTCAGAGCCATGGGACCCTGCAGCCCCTGCCCACCTGCACCTCCCACTCTCCCCGAGGCCTGCTCCCTCCCTGGTGCCTGCTATGTGCCAGGCAGCTGACATCGAGAGGTGGAGCTGATGTGTGCACCGCGTGGGTCCTTTCAGGCCATCATTGGGCGGGTCCTTCCCTGGAAGCCACTCGCTTTGCTCAGTAAACTCCTACTTAGTCTCTGGGGCCCAACAGTCCACGTCTCCTCTGTGCTGCCCCCGTCGGCACCCCGGGAGAGGCTGGGTGCTGCATCCTCCACTGCCGTGGTCCTGGGGAGATGTGGCCCAGGGGACAGACCGGGACTCGGCTTAGCCAGCCATCTCCCCCCAGGGGCGAGGACAACCACTGGATCTGTAAACCCTGGAACCTGGCCCGCAGCCTGGACACCCACATCACCAGGGACCTCAGCAGCATCATCCGGCACCGTGAGAGCGCCCCCAAGGTTGGCCCCGCAGCTCCCCACCTGAGGGGGTGGGGACGCTCAGGGTCCAGGGCCAGGGTAGGGGTACAGGTGTGGGAGGAAGGTAGGCTCAGGAGGGGACAGTGATGCAGGGTCACTTAGCTCATGGGTCGCAGCCCAGCCCAAGTCCCCTACCCGCACTCCTTCCATTGGGTGAGGTGAGGGGAGGCTGGGGGATACCCCAGTTGAGAGAGGAGGGGGCCCTTGAGTGGAGCCATCCCGGACAGTGCTTTGCTGCTCTGTGCTGCCCACCTGCCCAGTCTTGGACGAAATCTCCGTGGTGACACAGGGCTATGTCAGGGGCTGTATGAAGGGGGATCTGTGGGGCACACATGTTATCTACGAGGACAAGGACCCGTTGCGACTGAGTCGGCTCTGACTCATGGCGACCTCACGTGTCTGCATAGAACTGCGCTCCATAGGGTTCTCGGTGGCTGGTTCTAAAGACCAGGCCTTTCTTCCACAAAATTACATACCAGTGGGAAATAGACGTGGGCAAGATGTCGGAAGGAAATGTGCCGCAACAGCCGGAAACGGAGAGGTTTGGAGAGTTGGGTAGGGAGTGGGTTGGATGTTGGGTGGGAATCTGTGCTCAGTTTTTTGCAACCTTTTAAAAAGTCCGTTACTGTTCCAACAGTCTTGATTGTTCGGAGCACTTCTAGGCTCACCAGAGAGGCCGCGCAGAAAGTACAGAGTTCCCAGCCCCGGCCCTGCGCGCCACTCCGCCCAGTAACCTCTCGTATTCCGTTTTCAGAACTTGAAAACTGGTAGAGTTGCTTCTGTGTTCCTTGCAGTTAAAGACTCTTAGAACCTAGATGAGGGTTTGGGAAGCAGACGAAGAGTAAAGTGCAGTGTGGCTGGGCCCCTGTGGGTGCTGGCACAGGTTCTTCGCAGGCACAGACGTCAGGGGCCTGCCTGGGGGAGCTGGTGTGCCCGGGGTGCAGGAGAGAGCATCCGTGTTCTCTGTGACGAGATGGCGGTGTCTGGCGCCCCACAGCCCAGAGCCGAGGAGGGCTGAGTGCCCTTGGCGGAGGCTGTCGACCCCGGGTGAGTGAGGCTGTATCTGTCTTGCCAGGTTGTGTCGAAGTACATTGAGAGCCCCGTCCTGTTCCATCGTGAGGACGTGGGGATGGTCAAGTTCGACATCCGCTATGTTGTGCTGTTACGGTCGGTGACGCCCCTGCGGCTGTTTGCCTACGACGTGTTCTGGCTGCGCTTCTCCAACCGGTAACTGCCGGGGAGGCTGGTGGGGATGGGGAGGCCGGGCAGCGGGCCTCTCTTTGCTTGGATCTGGAATCCCTTCGTCTCAATCCTCACCCAGTGAGTTACCAGTTGAGCCATCTCCCCTCCTGCCCGGCCTCCTTCAGAGGTCCCGCATCCCCCCACATGGTGGACGGGAGTGTTCCTTGTAAAACGCCCGCATATGAGAGTGTGGCCGTGCCTTGTGGGCCCACACAGAATGTTCTCGGTCAGCGGGTCGCTCACCAGCCAGACTTTGGGTGGGCCGTGGTGCCACCCACAAGCATGGACAGGGGCGTGGAAACCAAACACGGAAGCCGGTATGGTGGGCAGGGAGCTGGGTCTTTGACCGCTCCATGTGGACGAGGCACCGGTCGGGAACCCACGCGTCTGTCTGTCTGTCTGCGCAGGCCCTTTGCGCTCAACGACCTGGACGACTACGAGAAGCATTTCACCGTCATGAACTACCATGCCGACGTGGCGCTGCAGCAGGTGGGGCTGTGGCGGGGCCGGGGCCTCGCGGGTTCACGGCCGGTCACACGGGCCTCCCTTCCTGGCACTCATGCTGTCTTCTTGGAGTTGGGTGGACCGTTGTTCTAAGGAGCTGCCTTTTAAGTTCTCTCGTTCAGAAGGCTTGATGTGCCAGGCTTGGCGCGTGTGTTCCCAGATAATCCCTCCCACGGCTGAGGAGACAAGCTGGCGAGATGGGGGGCTTCCCCAGATCCCGCGGCAGGTCAGGAGCAGAGCAGGTCTCAGCCTGGGGCTTGCCCCCAACCTCGTGCCCATTAAGCACGAAGACAGCAGGGTAGGAGGACCAGGGAGACGGTCCATCCTGCCGTGGAGGGGGCATCCTTGAGGGAAGGTGCTTAGGGGACTGCAGTGTCCTGGTGGCTGTGCCAGTGCCCACTCCCTCCAGCTGGACACCTAGTGGGCCAGCCAAGACCCAGAGCCCTAGTCTCTGAGTCTGGGGTACCAAGTGCTTATCCCCATGGCATGGGGGGTGGGGGGATGTGCACATGGCCTATCAGGGCGTGAGTGTTGGGGCCCCAGAGGGAGTCAGGCCTGGCTTGTCCTCCCTGGGAGAAATCGGAGCCGACTGCCAGCCTGCCCACGTGTGTTGGCTACAGCCTTGGCCCCAGGGTGATCTTGCTGTCCCTCGGGCCCATCGGAGCTGGTGCTGAGCAGTGAGCCCAGGCTGGGCCCTGCAGCCAGGCTGGGGTTCCAGCTGGGCCCAGGTGTGGGCTCTGAAGGGTTCGAGGCCTCGCGGTCCTGTGTCAGCTGAGCACAAAGTGGTCCTCACAGTCAGTCTGCTGGGCAGAGAGTATCAGCCCCACTTTACAGATGGAGAAACGGAGGCTCAGAGAAGTTTATCTGCTTGTCCACATCACACAGCTAAGATCCAGCGCTCAGACCCACTCTCCTGCCCTTGACTATACTCTGAGGGCTGGGCTGGATGTTCCCTGCCGGCGCTGACCTGTGACTGCCCCCCCAGTGTTGCAGGCAGGGGACAGGGTTCCTCCCCTCCCTGCTGGTGGGCCTGGAACCCGTCTGGCGGAGGCCCGGGGCAGTGACGTCCCTGTGTCTGCCGCAGGTGCATTATGACGAGTTCATCCCGGCGTTTGAGAAGCAGTACCCCGAGTTTCCTTGGAAGGATGTCCAGGTGTGTCCTGAGCTCCCCAGGGTCGGCCAGGCTGGGGGCTGTAGGAGCCGCCCCCGTCATGGACGGGCCTTGGGCCCGGCAGGGGTTGGAGGGTCCTTTCCTCCTGGATGGGACCCTGGGGAGGACCCCCAGAGGAAGTGACCCAGGGCATCGGAGGACAGTCAGGGCAGCGTGGGAGTTAGGTTTGAGGGGACAGCAGGGACACAGCTGAACATGCCAGCTGGGTGCTATGTGCTGTGCTGAGCTTCCTTAGTGCGTGCAATGAGGGGGCACAGAGGGGTGCTGAAGGAGGAGACGGGGTAGGTTTACAGCGGGCCACGCTGTGGGACGGGGATTCTACAGCCAGGTCTAGAGACGTGAGGGTGTAGGAGGGGTGAGTTGGGGCTGGGGCTCAGGAAGGGGCTGTGAACCCCCCACGAAAGCTGCTCTGGGGGGCTAGACCCACCATGCAGGCCCCTGACTCTGCCTCCCCGGCCTCCAGGCCGAGATCTTCCGGGCCATCACAGAGCTGTTCCAGGCAGCCTGCGCCAAGCCTGCACCCCTGGGCCTCTGTGCCTACCCTTCGTCCCGGGCCGTGTACGCCGTCGACCTGATGCTGAAGTGGGATGACCGCCCGGATGGTGAGGGGCCTGGGGGCTCCCATCCTGTGACCCAAACCCCACACCTGCCATCAGGCTTCCCTCAGTTGGCCACCCCGGAATAGCAGGGAAAGCAGGGCCCCCCGTGCCCCATCAGCACACCCTAGGGTGTCCTCAGAGTGTGCAGGAGGGTGGGCCAGGCGCTGTGGGAGACGCTGGGGGGGAAGGGTCTGCAGTGGGCCAGCCGTGTGAGAGGCAGGAGCCGGCGATTCCCGACCACCATCCCGGGCAGCCCCAGTCAGGCCAGCCGCGGTGCCAGTGTGCCCAGGCCTCGCGTCCCTTCCTGACCAGACAGTACCTCAGCGTGTATGTGATGTGCTCATGCTGTTCCTGGGGCCAGAACCAAACCTCTCCAGGCACTCTGACCTCTGCAAGGAGACCCCAGTCCTCACCCCATTGCTGCCAGGAGCTGTGGGGCTTGGGCACGCGTGGCCTCCCCAAGCTTCCCAGCCCTGTACCAGAACCCGGCCTTCACACCCCTACCCCATCCCTGCCCCCCCGCCCCTCCCCCTGCGAGCAAGACGCCCACACTTGCCAAAATGCCCGCTTCTTTGCCATCCAGGGAAGCAGGTCATGCAGCCCCAGATCCTGGAGGTGAACTTCAACCCGGACTGTGAGCGTGCCTGCAGGTACCACCCGACTTTCTTCAACGACGTCTTCAGCACCTTGTTTTTGGACCAGCCCAGCAACTGCCACGTGATACCTCTCCTCTAGGCGCTCGCGGGCAGATCCGAGCCCATCTGAGTGGCTTCTGCAAGGGCCCCCTCCCTGCCTGCCCACCTGCCTCCCGCCTGAGCTGGCCCCAGCCTAGTCCCCTGGGAGCGCAGGGCTCTGCTCCCCATGGGTCAGAGGTAGGAAGGGCCAGTGTCTCCAGGGCCAAGCGCCGCCCAGGCCTGTTCCCCCTCCCACCATCCTGCAGCAATTCACCTCCAGCTCAGCCAACAGTTTGCAGGCGTCTGAGAGTTTGGTTACCTTCCAGAGGTTTCTGGAGGTGTTAGCGAAAGGGGGCTTGGTGGAGCATGAGGTGGCCTTCCCAAGCAGCGAGGCTCGGTGGGAGAGTGGAAACCACCAGGGAGATACAGCTGGGCAGGCTTCCTCCCCACCAGGCGTCTGCTTTTGTGCTCGGGGACCCCAGAGACCCCGGGGAAACGCTGCTTGCCAAACCACCCCAAGCCCTGCCTTACCATCCGCGCCCAGCTCAGCCAGACGCTCCACCAGCAGGCCTGTCCAGGGTGGGAGACGCTGTCCTTGTCTCCTTTCCCTTCGGTGAGGGTGGGCCCGTCCCTGGGTCACAGACACACAGTGAAGTCTACCCACTTGGGTCCCTGTTGTCCCCAAGGCCTCCCTGTTCTGGGTACCTGGTGCCTTCCGCTCCGCTGAGATGCTCTGTCGAGGGTGGCTCAGGACACGTGGGCGGCTGAGAAGCACCAGTGCCCACAGGAGACAGTCGGACACCATCTCCTACTAGGCTCTAGGGTCAGAATGTTGGATTTTTGTTATTTTAATTTATGGGAGGAAAATGTAAAAATTTCTAGTTCCTTTCTTAATGTTTTCCTGCAATTCAGAGCCAGATGCCGACGTTGTTTTGGTAGCAGCGGTGCCCCTGGGCCCAGCTAGTTCACAGGTCTCAGAAGCTGGTGGGGGGTCTGGCTCCTGGTACCTGGGCTTCCGCAGGGCATTCCCATGTGCAGGCAGTGGGGGTCAGGGGTGGTGGTCTCTTTCATTTTGAAGCCGTAAAGCAGTCCTCCTTGTAGCAAAACTGGAATGAATCCATCTCTATCGGCTGTGTCTGCGCATCCTCTTGGTTAGCGAGGGCCTGCCCTTTGCAAGGGGACCGTCCTTCAGCCAAATGCCGCTGCCAGCGCCTCTTCCTTGGGGCTCTCGTTGAATGCCCCAAAGACCAGGACACTCCATCTCTGGTTTTCTCCTGGGACAGCTGTGACATGCTAGCCCTGTCAACTTTATACTACAATAAAAGATGCCTTCTTGTACAGGTGCCTCAGTTGATCTCTGGGGGCCCTGAGTCTAGACGCGGGCTTTGAGAAAGAGGGGAAATGAGACAATGTTAGAGCCCAAGTCCCCCAACACAGTGTGGCTTCTTAGCACCAGGTCCATCTCAGAGGGGGCAGTAGCGGAGGCGTGGGGGCTGAGGCAGACCACGTGCGGCCCCCAGTGCCCTGGGGGCCCTGGGGCCGCAGACAGCTGAGTGGAAATCTGGTGGCCTTGGTAGAGGGATTCTGTCTGCACTTGATCTCCCTGGAGAGACGTGGGGCTGGTAAGAGAACCAGCTCCTGCCCGTGCCCTTTGGGGCTGGTAGGTGGGTCCAGTGGGCTGGTGCTGACAAGTGTCATCCAGGAGGAAGGGAAATAGTGACCCCACTTGGTGTGGAGATGAATAAATGAGGAGAGAGCCCCCCACGTGGCTGTTGGGGGGGGGGGCACGGGCCACATACAGCTTCCTGGAGCCACCTGAAGGGCCTCCTGTGCCCCAGGCCCAGGGCTCGCTCCAGTATTTGCTCAGAAGCTGAGCAGGGTTGGTGCCGCGGCTGGTCTAGTCCTCTGGTCCGGACTGCAGGAGATGCTCCGCGTAAACATGCGAAGCTGCCTGAATCAGCCTCTTAGCCAGGCCCTCATCTGGCTTCTCCCTGAGGTCCTCACACCTCTGACCAGATCGAGTGCCACAGCCGGAAGACTGGACAAATGCTGAGGAAGGTGCGGGGGAGCTGCTTCCTGCCCACAAGATACTTCTGGTACTTGTTCCCGCCCCTGGCACTTCCCATTTCAAGAATCCATCAAAAGCCGGAATTTATAAGTGCCGGATATCTGGAGTGGACCAGAGAGAATCCCAGTGGTAGTCAGTGTACCAAGGTTCTACAGGGTGAGACAGAAGAATCCAGAAGGTAAAGCTCGGGAGGCTGACTTAGAAAGCCTAGGTCTACATAAATACGTCCAGAGTGGTGGCTCTCCTGCCAAGAGGCCCAGGACACACATCTCCTAGTACCGGGGAGGCCAGGTCCCCATGTGCACAGAGGGGCCACTCAGAAAACCCCCTGTTGTTTGCTGGCTGCCATCGAGTAGCCCCCCGTGCACAACACCATTGTGTGCCACAGGGTTTTCACTGGCTGATTTTTGGAAGTAGATCACCAGGCCTTTCTTCCCAGTCTGTCTTAGTCTGGAAGCTCCACTAAAGCCTCTTCAGCATCATAGCAACACCCAAGCCTCCACTGACAGATGGCGGCTGTCCGTGAGGTACACCAGCCGGAGCTGAACCCAGGTCTCCTGCGTGGCAGGTGAGAATTCTACCACTGAGCCACCACTGCCTGCCTGGAAAACTCCCAAGAGTCACTGTTGCTTTCATGCTGGCGACCAACCAGCGGAGCCTTCTTGGTTCACGTGAACAGCCTTGTGACCTGTTCCGGTAGTGGCTGTCCTGCCAGCTGGCGGGAGGGTGAGGTGAAGGCATGTTCACACAGGCCTCGACTGCGTGCAGCTACCAGGGAAGAGTTCAGACCCAGAGGACTTGATACATCTGAGGAGCGGCTTCCCTATTAAACCCACGTGGAAACCGCCAGAAACCTAAAGCCCCTGAATGATGGAAAGTTTTGAAACAGGGAGAATGCTGCCCCGTAGTGAAGAACAGGGAAAGAAAGCACTGCGCGGTCGTTAACAGAAAGCCACAAACGTAATGGCAGCTGCGTCCTCCTTGAGCGCCCATTTGTCCAGCCAGTGCCTGTTCTGTGGTCAGGAGGAAATGGGATGTTGCAGGAGGTGGAAAAGCCCACGAGTCTGTGGAATGGGTGAAACCAGTGTGGATGGGCACCGCTGGAATCCCAGACGTCCCGGCGGGCTTTCCGTAAGCGCTAAGAGCAATGTACCCACGTGGGCGCCCGTGCCCTGTGGGGACCCAGGCCTGCTCGCAGAGCATGCTAGAGCAGGAGGCGCCCTGGCCTCTTAAGTGGTGGCGTGGACCTCTCTGCCACTGGGGTCAGACAAGCATGCTAGGCACAAGGCTCGGACCATCTTGGAAAGCCTTAACCAGTTGTCGTCGAGTCAGCTCTGATTCATGCTGACCCCACGTGTGTCAGAGTGGAACTGCACTCCGTAGGGGTCTGTTTTTTTAATAACAAATTTATTGAGATAAACTTCACACACCATACATTTCTGCCATTTAATACATACAATGTTTTTAACATATGCACAGGGTTCTGCAACCATCACCACCATCAATTTTAGAACATTGTCTTCACCCTAAAAAAGAAACCCTACACCCATTGCCAGTCCCGCCCCCACTTTCCCCAAACTACCCACCCCAACCCTGGCTGCTCCATAGGTTGTCAATGGCTGATTTTTTGGAAGTAGATCACCAAGCCTTTCCTCCGAGATGCCTCTGGGTGGACTGAAACTGCCAAACTTTCGGTTAGCAGCTGAGCACGTTAACCATTTGCACCACCTGGGGACTCCTGGAAAGCCTTAGAAATAAGAGAAAGGATGCACAAAGCCTCTGCTCTGATGCGCATCAGAGATGCACTTGGGGCCAAGGGCTCGCTAGGTGCCCCTGGACCAGGCGGAGCACAGTGTGCTGAGAATCGATGCCACCACAGCTGAATGGGGGAGGCCAGTGTGGTGACTGCCCTGACGGTGAGCTGCCTCTCCCCCCACCTCGGAACATTCTGGACAGTGCTGTCAACTGAGCTTTTCATGGTCTCTAGCCACTTCCAAACTTGAGGGAAGGAGGAAGGCAGAGGGGGCGGTGAGAGTGGAGAGAGCAAAGCCCACCCATGCAAAATGGTGATGAACTCTCCAAATGTGGAAATGTTGCCGATTTGAATAAGCTTCTGTCTACTGAAGAACCAAAAAAAAACAAACTCGTTGCCATCGAGTCAATTCCAACTCATAGCAACCCTCAATTGAATATCCCATGGACCGCCAAAAGAACGAACCAATCTGTCTTGGAAGAAGTACATCCAGAATGCTCCTTAGAAGCAAGGATAGTGAAACTTCTCACGGACTTTGGACAAGTTATCAGGAGGGACCAGTCCCTGGAGAAGGACATCGTGCTTGGTAAAGTAGAGGGTCGGTGAAAAAGAGGAAGACTCTCAACGAGATGGATTGACACGGTGGCTGCAACAATGGGCTCAAGCATAACAACGGTTGTGAGGATGGCGCAGGACGGGGCAGTGTTTCATTCTGTTGTGCACAGAGTCACTGTGACTCGAAACTGACTCGACAGCACCTAACAATAACGACAAAGTGAGAAGCAGAAGCCCAGCCGGTGGGGCCTGGCCCCATGAGGAGCCTGGTCCTCGGAGGCTGCTCTGCTGAGCGCTGCCCAGGACGTGATGACAGTTAATGGGAGGAGAGCTGTCACTCAGCAGTGGCCTGACTGTGTGCCCGGTGCTCCGCCATGTCTGGTTTCATCCAAACAGCTGTCTGCACAGGTCGTGGGCCACCTGATTCAAGGCAAGGGGTGACACCTCCAAACCTGGGTGGGTAAGGGCCAGTGAGAAGCTGCTGTCTGCCGAGCTTAGGGTTACAGACATGGCCCTTATCGCCTCCTGACACCCCTCACTTCCTGCCAGTTGGGGTTTGTGGGCTATCCCTGGTGGGGAGAGGCTGGTATGGGCCTGGACACCCTAGGGGCAGGTCAGTCAGCATCCCCAGCTCGGGCCACAGCTTGGTCCTGGGCAAGGCCAGTGGAGGGCCCTGCTTGGAGTCCTGTGTAACTTGACCTTACTAATGCCAGTAAATTTTCATTAGTCCTTAAACTAGCCCAAGCCAGATTTGGCCTGCCCCGCATGCGCAGAATGGCCAGCTGTGACCACTAATTGACCTCAGCAGAGGACGCAGCAACAGGAAAAACGAATCAGAAGGAATATCATCACCTGGACCCTATTTCGAAGCAAGAGGTCCGACAAGAACCACGTCACCTCCCGTTTCCTGGCCGCCTTCTAGAATTTTCCCTCCCCAGAACATCTGCGCGGCCGCCATCTTGCTGCCCAAATCACATATAAGCCCTGCTTCCCCGTAGCTTGGTGAGCCGGATCTGAGGAACTTCTAGTTTCTTGCTCTGCGCATTGCAATAAAGTTACTTTCTCTTTCTCAAAGACTGGTGTCCAGATAATCAGCAAGTGTAAGCATGCTGGACAAGGACCCACCTTTTAGGGTTCGGTAACAATTTTGGCACCCAATGCGGGGCCCCCGTCCAGAGCCCAGCACCCTCCTGACCGCAAGCAGAAACTCCACTGACCCTCGGCATGCACCAAGCCACTTGTTCAGGAGGATCAGGTGGGTCTCCTAACCATGACTGAGGCGGCGACCAGCCCAAGGTGCTTTTACTTTGAGAAGTAGAAACTAACTCTAGTATGGATGTCCATTAGGTAGATGCCCTAAGAATTTCTCTTGTTAAGTGTGCTTGGGATTGGAGGTGAGGAGGTATCTGGAGGATTGAAGTAGGACTAAGACATTCCCATTAGGGGGGATTGAAGCCCTACTAAGATCATCCACATTACTCCACCACTAAGATCAACCTTGGCTGGCCCCTCATGAGTCAGAAACTCCCAGTCCTGCCCAGGGAATAGTCTCCCCAGCACACACTCGTAGTGGGGTACAATTCATCCCAGGATCCACCCAAGTCTCCTCAGGGCAGTTTCCACTGAGACAAATGCCTGCTGGACTGGATCACAAACGGCCAGCCTAGAGGGTTTATCTGGGTCTATACACCGTTTTCCACCTCTGACCTGTATAATTGGAAGAATAATCTCCCAATGTATAGAGATTACCCGAGACGCATAGAAGCTTTGTTTGTGTCCCTCTTTGCCACACATCACCCTAACTGAGCTGTTAGTCACTTGTAAATATTCTTCTAATTCCAGAGGAACAGAGGATAGTCTTAGAAAAGGCACGCCAAGAGGCTGACAGGTTGCATAACTTCAACCCTCAGAATGGTATTAGACTCCTGGCAGCCCAGGCTGTACCTGCCATAGATCCACACTGGGACCCAAATGATCAGCTAGGGGCATGACAGCTAGAACACTAAAAAACTGTTTGATAGTTGGTTTGCAGCAAGGGGCCCCAAAGCAGAAGAGCCTTAAAAAAGATCAGGCTGTACAACAAGGCCCCAAGGAAAATCCCTCCAGTTTCTTAGAACAGATGTGTGAAGCATACCAGCCGTTTACTGATTATAAACCCTGAAGATCCAGAGAATGTTAGGTTAATGAGTATGACTTTAATCAGCCAAAGCGCCCCTGACATCAAGTGGAAACTTCAAAAGTTAGAAGGAGGTCTAGGAATGAATACTTCACAACTTGTTGAGATTGCCTTTAAGGTCTTCAGTAATTGGGACCAGGTAAAAGAATAAAAGGAAAATAAAAAAATGAAACAACAGGCCATGCTCCTGGCAGCAGCTCTTGGAGGTAACCCACCACCCAGGCAGACCTCATGGGTAAGTCCTTGTGGGCCCCAAAAGGGCCAGCAGCCAACCCAAGGGCCCCTAAATCTAGGCCCCAGACAATGTGCCTACTGCAAAGAAGAAAGGCACTGGAAACAGGAGTGCCCCTCGTGGCCAACCCAGTCCATGCAAGAGTCTAAGAAGAAACCCATAACCCAGCTCCTGCAATGGTCAACTGATGATTCTGACTGACGGGGCCCAGGGGCTCCCCTGCAACCCACCCAGCCTATCTTAATCTCCCACGAGGAACCCCTGGTTGCAGTAACAGTGGGAGGACAACTTACTGAATTCTTAGCAGACATGGGCACAACCTACTTAGTTTTAAACACCCTGAAGGGCCCACTGTCTAAAAGAAACATGACCATTACTGGAGTGTCAGGAAAACATAGCAATAAACCATTCCTTCAACTTATGGACTGTCAAGTTGGAGGTACAGAATTGACTCACAGTTTCTTGTATGTGCCTGAATGTCCTATCCCCCTTTTGTGAGGGAATTTGTTAACCAAGTTAAATACTCAAGTCACCTTATCAGCAGATCAACCTCAAGTAGGAGTAGAACCAGATAAAGCCTGTGCTCTTCAAGTGGCCCTTTTGCAGACTTGCAGGGACGAATAAGTCCATGTGCCAAGAAGGTTTTGATTAAAGGTTGTAGGCCTAGTTTAGCCTCCTGCTTCTAGGGATACTGCTTTAGATGTGGAATGGTGTGTCGTTTGGTGTCCATCCCTACAGAATCTGTACTCCTACCCCAGCACATTCAGGATCAAGTTAAACCCCAGGTCTGGGCCACTGGAATCCCTGTAAGACAAAGATGGCAACCTTCATCCTTGTAAGGCTTAAACCAAACCACACCGTTCCACATCTAAAGCAGTACCCCTTGAAGCAGGAGGCTAAACTATGTCTACAACCTTTAATCAAAACCTTCTTGGCACATGGACTTATTCGTCCCTGCAAGTCTGCTTATAACACCCCTATTCTACCCATAATAAAACCAGGCACTGAAGAGCATCAATTTGTGCAAGACCTACGGGCCATGAATCAGATAGCAGAGGACATTCACCCAGTGGTACCCAATCCATACACTCTGCTGAGAGTCCTTCCAGGGGATTGCGCATAGTTTACAGTTTTAGCCTTGAAAGATGCTTTTTATTGTGTTCCTCTGGAAGAAAATTCCCAAGAGATATTTGCCTTTGAGTGGGGAGGATCCCACCTCAGGAACTAAGACTCAATACTTCTGGACTGTTTTACCACAAGAGTTCAAGAATAGCCCCACTCTCTTTGGGGAGGTATTAGCCAGAGATCTCCAGAACTTAACACCTACAGGAGGGCACAGTCCTCCAGTATGTAGATGATATTTTAATCGCCAGTCCCACCAAAGAGCTCTGACAAGAACACAGTCACCATACTGAACTTCCTAGGAGACCAGGGATACAAGGTCTCACAGAAAAAAGCCCAGATCTCTGCCACTGAGGTAAAATACCTAGGGTTTAAAATATCACAAGGGAAAAGAGAGCAGCTACCTGACTGGAAAGAGGTGATTGCCCAAGTAGCCTCCCCAACCACTAGGAGACAGTTATGAGCGTTCCTTGGAATGGCCAGGTTCTGTAGAATCTGGATCCCCAATTTCGATCTCATCACAAAACCCTTATACCGGGCTGTCCAAGGGAGCAATTCTGAACCCTTGGATGGACACCAGAATATCAAGTAGCCTTCCAACAAATCAAAGATAAGCTGATGTCCGCCCCCGCCCTAGAACTACCAGACCTCAAGAAACCTTTCGAGCTGTTCAGTCACGAGAGGTAGAGGATTGCCCTGGGGGCACTCACTCAGACCTGGGGCCATGGAAGCAACCAGTTGCATACTTCTTTAAACAGCTAGACCCTGTGGTCCAGGGCTGGTCCACCTGCCTCCAGGCAGTCGCAGCAACGTGTGATCTCCTGATGGAGGCCAAGGAGTTCACTCTTGGCCAACCTACCATGGTTCTAACCCCCATTGTGTGCTTCCTTTGATGAAGCAGAAGGGTGGTCTTTGGCTAATGGCAGGGCGACTCAGCAAATACCAGGCTATGCTACTTGACAGTCCTGCTGTAACATTAAAGACTGTCTCCACTCTCAATCCTGCAACCTTGTTACCCACATCGAAAGATGGAAAACTCGAGCACAACTGTGTCCAAGTAATTGAAGAGGGGTATTCCAGCAGGCCTGACCTATCTGACCAGCCTCTAACTAACCCCAATTTAGAACTGTTCACAGATGGAAGCAGCTATTTAGAAAAAGGAGTCCAAAAAGCTGGCTATGCCATGGTCACCCTCTATGAGACATGCTTCCCTGGCTAGCCAAACTGATTGAAGAGCCTTATCTACAAAAGACTATTCAGAAAATAGTGCATCAATGTGTTACCTGTGCAAAGAACAATCCAAAAACAGGCCCACCACCTCCTATGCCTGGGGTACAAGCCCGTGGGACTGGCCCCAGACAGGACTGGCAAGTAGACTTCACTGTTAAGCCAACAGCTACAGAAGGTTTCAAATATCTCTTAGTGTTTGCAGACACTTTTACCGGATGGGTAGAAGCCTTCCCCTGCAGAACATAAAAGTCATCAGAGGTCAACAAAACTCTTCTTAATGAAGTTATTCCTAGACTTGGCCTACCTTATTCAATTCAAAGCAATAACGGAGGAGCTTTTGTATCTAAGGTTACCCAAGAAGTTTCAGGGCATTTAGGAATCCAGTGGAAGTTGCGTGCTTCCTGGAGGCCAGAGTGAACTAGGAAAACAGAAGACGAACCACACCTTAAGGGAGAGCTGAGCTAAGCTCTGCCAAGAGACCAGCCTGCCCTGGTCACACTGCTACCCATCGCCCTGTTGAGGGTCCTGGTGGCCCCTAGAAGCAGGCTCCAGTTGAGCCCCTATGAAATGCTGTACGGGAGACCTTCCTTAAGGCAGCCTGGGGATGTAGCGCTTCAGATGATCCTCAAGTATTCCTGGAACTTGGTGTCTCCAGGTATCGTAGGTCATTATATGTAACTCTGAAAGCTATTAACCATTATGCATCCAGTCGTATGTTTTTTCCCACAGCTACCCCTCTTCATCCTTTCACCCCAGGAAACCTCGTTGTCATAAAGAAGTGGGACGACCATCATCCTTGCGGCCAGCTTCAACCCAAGTGGCCTGGTCCTTACGAAGTTCTTCCAGTTACCCACTCCTCGGTGAAGGTAGCCAAAGTCAAACTTTAGATCCACTACACCAGGGTGAAGCATGTGCCCATAGCTCCAGATGTGCCTTTAAAGTCTTCCCCTATAGGCACAGGTCACCCAAGTGCAGACTACAAAGACAGCCAACCCCCCGAACCCGAGTGGGAGTGCGAGCCACTAGAAGACTTAGGACTACTCTTTAAGAAACAGCCTATAGAGAAGTAACCCTTTTCCACCTGAAGTCTCCTTTGCCTGCTACCCCAGGAGCTAATCGTTCCCTGTCTGTTCCTAGGTCCCTAAAAACTCTGCCCCATGTCAGCAGGAAGTAGCCAGATGAGTCGCAGACCCTTATCCTTTAAGATTAAGGAATTGCTACAACTCAAGGGGTGGATTGTAACCTGACCTTACTTACGCCAGTAAATTTCCATTAGTCCTTAAACTAGCCCAAATCAGATTTGGCCTGCCCTGCACATGCAGAAGGGCCAGCTGTGACTGCTAATTGAACTCAACAGAGGACGCAGCAACAGGAGGAACCAATCAGAAGGAAAATCATCACCCAAACCCTATTCCGAAGTGAGAGGTCCGACAAGAACTACGTCACCTCCTGTTTCCTGGCCGCCGTCTAGAATTTTCCCTCCCAGAACACTTGCAGGGCCGCCATCTTGCTGCCCAAATCACATATCAGCCCTGCTTCCCCGTAGTTCAGGGAGCCGGATCTGAGGATCTTTCTCCTAGCTCCCTTGCTCTGCACGTTGCAATAAAGTTACTTTCTCAAAGACTAGTATCCAGGTAATCGGCAAGTGTGAGCGCACCAGACAAGGACCCACCTTTTAGGGTTCGGTAACACCCACAGAGCCAGGCATTGGGCCAGGTCAACTGTGTAGCCCGCCCCTTCTAGAAACTTCCCTGAGCATCCTGGAAGCCATGTGCCATGGACAGGAGCCCCACAATCAATGCTCATGGCCTTGCAGCTCGAGCCGGTGTGGGCCCCAGAGTTGAACCTTTGCAGGGTCTTAGGAGGGTCCCAGGAAGCATAAGGAAGCCCCAGCCAGGCCAGGTGGACCCCGAAGGAGGGCGGACCCTGCAGCCGCCCGGCCCCTCCCATCTCCATGGCCAGAGCCCCCAGGGAGAAAGGCCATCGCACAGAAGGTTAAAAATTTTATTTGGCTTATAAAACTCCACATTCCTTCGTGCTCCTCTCAGGCAGAAGGTGCAGTACGCTGCTCAGGAGCCCTTCCTGGGCGGGGGGGCTCAGCCCGGACCACCAGAGGCCTCTGGTGACGCAGACGGAGCAGCAGGCCCGTGGCCGTGAGACAGCAGCTCCTGATGGGCAGCGGCCGCAGTCCTCGGCCGGGCATCCTCACTCTGGGGGCCGCCGGCCACTGCGCCGGCCGCGGTTGTCCCGCCACACGTAGTAGTTGAGTGTGGCCGCGAAGGCCAGCCAGGCCAGGTACGGGTACAGCAGGCGGGCAGCCAGCGGGCTCACCTGGTGCCAGGCCACAGTGGTGGCAGCCGCCACCCCACCCACCAACAGGAGGTCCACCAGGGCCTGCGGAGACGCGGGGAGAGGGAGGACAGGGAGGCTGAGGTTCCACGTCTGCATAGGGGGGGTGTCCCAGCTGCCCACCACCCCCTGGACTTGGGAAGCTTTGGAACCCCTATTCCACCCTCGAGGGACATGGCCAGGCCCCACGCCATTTTCAGCTTCAGTGTCCTCATCTGTGAAATGGGTGTGGCCACCCTTCCTGACCCATGGCGTGTGTGCATGTGGGTGTGTGTACACGTGACGGTGCCACCAGAGGACACAGCAGGTTCAAGGGTGAGGTGACTGCTGCGAGGCCCCAGGCACCTCCTTCCCGCCCCGAGCTCCGGAGCCCTTGGACAGGGCAACCCTGCTCTCCCAGCGTTATCACGAGGCCCAAACAAGATCACGAACAGGAGAAACAGCTGCTGTGAACTGTCACGTGCTGTCCCCAAGGGGTGACAGTGAGCAGGGATACGCCCTGTGCATCAATTCCACCAACACAGAAAAGATCTTTTTAAAAGAGAAGCAGACATTGAACTGGTGGCGCTGGCCCCCAGCCTGCTGCCAATGTCTCTTTAGGCACAGCGCCAAGTGTAATGTTGAATTTTCTGATAAAATGGCCCCTAAACCCAAGCGGAGGACCCCTGGTGACACAGTGGTTAAGCGCTTGGCTGCTAAGTGGTTTGAACCCACCAGCCTCTCTTCAGGAGAAAGATGTGGCAGTCTGCTTCTGTAAAGATTACAGCCTTGGAAACCCCATGCGGCAGTTCTCCTCTGTCCTACAGGGTCGCTATGTGTCAGAATTGACGGCAACAAGTTTGGTTTTAAACCCAAGCAACCCCCCCCATCTGCTGCAGCCAGAGCCCCGAGGAAAACTTGCTGAGGGGTGTTCCAGGGCATCGGTCCCTAAAAGCTTCTAGACAGACATTCTGACCACATCTGAGATGTGATGTCCCCACATCCTGCAAGAGAGAGGCCAGGGAGACAGGTTGAGGCCATACTTACCCAGCCCATTTGGTGGGCACCAAAGAAGATGCGGGGCCATGCCCAGTTCAGGGCCAGCTGCCCGGCGTAGAGGCCCAGGGGGACCACGGCCTCCTCTGAGAAGCCCCCCAGCTCTTTCCAGACCAAGTAGGAGCCGTACCTGCAACAGAGTCGCCTGTCAGAGTACCTGCGAGGAAGGGGCCAGGAGCCTCCCTGGCCCTCAGTGGAGATGGTGAGAGCTCAGGCACGCCCCCACCCTTGGCAAACCCAGGTCACCAATGGAGGCAGAAATCCTGTCCAGGCACTGCCTGCTGGGACATCAGGGAAGTTGCTTGACCTCTGCGGTGCAGTGAATTACTTAACATGGCCCTTCTAGCCATAGTCTTTATAAACTCCCACCAAATGACTGGGTGGGGCTATGCAAATGAGGCGCTTGTGGCCCACCAAGGAGATTGGATAGCTTGCTAATAACATAAATAAGGTGCATGGAACCCCTGTGGGGGAAATGAAAATAAGGTGTATGGAACCCTAATGAGGGGATGGGTCAGTTTTGCCATCCCTCTAGGCTTAAAATGAGCCATCCCAGAGCAGAGGGGCCTCACTACTATCAAGAAAGAAGAGCTAGGAGTGAAGCGTGTCCTTTGGACCCGGGATCCCTGCACGGAGAACCTTAGATCCAGGAGAGAGAGAGAGCTGTAACACCGGAGATAGTGAGAGACGGCGAGAAGCAGCAGCAGAGAAACAGCAGCAGAACCAAGAGACCCACAGGAGACAGCGAGCTGGGCTTCCCAACCCACGGAGTCAGAGAGCTGAGTGCCCTCAGGCAGGAGGTTTGCTGGCAGAGTGGGGTGCCTCCAGGCACTTGTCAGAGATAGGCTCGCCAACCCATGGAGGGAAAGCTCGGCACCTTGGAGCAGGAGGCTTCTTGGTGGAGTGGGGTGCCTCTGGGCACTTGTTGGCAGAGCTAAAGAGCTTTGTAACACTTTTGTAATACTCTGTAACACTTGCCCAAGCAGGGCAGAGGCCAGGCAGAGGGGCTGAGGGCCTGCCGACCTGGCTGAGAAGAAGCTGTCCTGATGGAAGAATTGTATCCTGAGTATTTCCTGATCCTGAATTGTAACCTGTTGATTCCCTAATAAAACCCATAATCATGCGTGTGGTCTGTGAGTTCTGTGTGGCCAGTGTAACGAATTATCGAACCCAGCAGAAAAGCAGAGAGTGCCATGGGAGGGACAGCTGGTGTCAGAACAGGTAAAAGGGTTGGAGAGAGGTGTGTCTGACCTCCGCCTCACAGCAGTCAGCCTGGGGCTACTGATGCTGATAATGCCTCTGCATCCGCCTTGTGAAATTAGATAAGGTCAGACACCTGCTGTCACACCAGTCTCACAACCTCTCGGGGTCACCTCACAAGGTCGCTGTGGGATTTGAGTTAACATTGCTGTGCTTAGGGTGGTGGCTGGCACATTATTATCATCATCAGTGCTGTGAAGGGGGAGGCACGGGGCTTGTGGGTGAAGAGCAAGCTCCTAAATCAGCCAGGGGCGCTGCACAGACATTTGGGCTGGGCCCTGGAGGATGAGTAGGAGTTTGCCAGGGGAAAAGAACAGAATTTGCAAAGGCTTAGAGGCTGGTGCGAGACCCTGAGTGGGTCTGTGTGACTGCAGGGTGACGTCTCGGGGGCGGAGCAGAAGGGTGACTGGAGAGGCGGGTGAGGCTTTTCTGGCCTCAAGGGCAACGCCACCACCAATAATAATGGCTAATGCCCTCCAGCTCTTACGTGCACCAGGCACTGCTCTAGCACTTTCTAAGCATTAACTCATTCCACCCTCATGACAATGCTGAGGTGGGCAGCACTATCACCTCCATTTTACAGGTAGGAAAACTGAGGCACAGAGAGGTATAGTCACTGCCTAAAACCTCTCAGGATTTGAACTCAGGTGGCCTGGGGCTGGAGACTAGCTCTTAACCAGCAGTGAGAGGCCACAGGGACCCACCAAGGGAATGGCTCGGTCCAATCTGTGCTTCTTCAGGGTCTTGATGGTGGAAGGTGTGTGTGTGCTGGGGGGAGATGCCTGGAGGCTGGAGCAGGTGGAGGCAGCAAGAGCGGTGCGTGGACAAGGATCCTCCACGAGGGAAGGGATGGGGGCCCCCACTGGGTGGAGCCTGCAGCAGGGAACTCTGGAGAAGGGCGGGAGGCCTCCCCGCAGGAGCCACCAGGGGGTGCCCTCCCTGGTCTGCACTTCCTTTCTTCCATCACAACCCAGTGGGCCTTTGAGGTCAGACTGAGGCCCAGACAGGGGAAGGGACTAACCCGGGCAGACAGAGGGGCTCCTGCAGGATCCCTACTTGTAGCCCATGTCTGGGGAAGGCCATGCGTCCCTTCTCTGTAAAATGGACATCGTGAGGATAAGCCGCAACAAAGCCTGGCACCCTGCTGGAGCTCAGAGCATGGCAACAGGAAAATCAGCGGCCACAGAGTCAACTCTGACTTGTGGCGACCCCATGAGTGTCGGAGGAGAACTGTGCTCACAGTTTTGGAAGTAGACGGCCAGTCCTTTCTTCCGAGTCTGTCTTAGTCTGGAAGCTCCACTGAAACCTGTTCAGCATCATAGCCACACACAAGCCTCCACTGACAGACAGACAGTGGCTGTGACAGGAACTGAACCCGGGTCTCCCGCGTGGAAGGGGAGAGTTGTACAGCCGAAACACCACTGCCCCAACCTGCTGCTGTCAAGCTGATCCCACCTCATGGCAAACTCATGTGTGTTAGTGTAGAACAGTTCTCACAGGGTTCTCAGTGGCTGATTCTTTGGAAGTAGACTGCCAAGCATTTCTTCCAAGCCACCTCTGGGTAGGCTCGAGCCTTCAGCCTTTCAGTTCGCAGTGGAGCACGTGAACCATCGGCACCACCCAGGGACTCCCAATACATGGCAGCTACTGTGACTGCCGCCACAGCTGTGACTCATCCTCCATCGAACTGTCACCAGGCGTCCACACTGCTCACACAGCAGCACTCACACTGCTCTGAACCTGACACACAGAAGCTGGCTGAGCTGAAAACGGCCAGGATGCCAGTGCAGGGTTAATCTACCCTGGCGGCCTCTCCCGGGGGGCCCAGGAAAAGAAAGCTGGGTTGTGCAACCAGTGGGCCCCAAAGCTTTCTCCTTCCTGGTAGCTGCCAAACCAGGCTGGGAAAACCGCTGCTCCAGGGCTGTCCCATCGACTGCCCCAGGACCCCTACGGGGGGATGGCCCTGCCCTGCCTGCTCAGGGGACCAGGCCTGACTGCACAGGTCCACGCCGGCCCACCTACCCCATCGCCGAGTAGAGCGTGCCCCAGATGGGGCCGAGCGTCCAGTAGGGCGGGTGCCAGGAGGGCTTTTGCAGGCCAGCATACCAGCGGAGGCCCTCTCCATGGATGAAGTGGGAGCTCAGGAAGCCCCCTAGGCTGGGCACCAGAGTGAAGCCCACAGCGGGCACCCAGGGCGGGGCCATGGCTGCTGCAACTGCTGCTCCGGAAAGTTCTGAAAGAGAAGACAGGGCTTTGGTAAGAGTGGGAGGTACCCCAGAGAGGGGGCAAGGCCCCACCGAGCAGTCCCCGAGGACCTGCTGTGCGCAGACCTGGGCTTAGACTGTGGGCACCTTCAGCGTTACCAGACCCAGTTCACTGACCGGTCACTCAATGGATCAGGAGGTACAGAGAGGCAAGGAGGGGCCGGAGTCGCACCCACAGCCTTGCCATCCTCACTCAAGGGTTTGAGTGACACTCTTCCATCCAAACTCCTACCCCACCCAGAAGACGGCCCCTGCATGGCCTGGACCCGCGGGGTCCGCCCACCAAGTCGAGGTCCATCTCAGCTCCTGCTCCAGCTGTGAGGGTCCTGTACTCTCCCACCCTCGCCCTTGACCTTGGGTCTCCTGGCAAGAGAGCTCCTCCTCTCTGCCACCTTGTCTACTCTGCCACCTTGTCCAAGGAAGCTTCCCCAGGCCAAATGCCAGCCCCTGGGGGCTCTGCAGGGCCCGCGGGAGCCTTCTCCCAGGTCAGCCTATTTACGCCCCACTTCATCCCAGACTAATTGCTACGGCCCCCTTTCACTCTCCAAAGTGTCCCTTTTACAAGTGACCAAGGTCAATACTGCCAGTATAAGACATATCAACATGGTGAACCCCTGATACAACTTGCTCACAGAAACGGGCCACATTTCTGTGGCATTCTTGCCCAAAATGCATATCCCCAGCCAGTCACGGGACACCAGACAACCCCACATGGAGGAGCATTCTACAGAACAACCAGGCGGGACTCCAGCGGTCTGCAAAGCATCAAGGTCGTGAAAGACAAGGAAAGGCGGCAAGAACCATCCCAGACTGCAAGAGACTAAGGAGAAACAGCATCGGACTCCAACAGTGTGGGACCCTGGCTGGGATCCTGGAAGAGATTGAGGACATTAGTGGAAAATGGGTGAGGTCTGTGGTTCAGCTAATAGTATTGTACCGGTGTCAATTCGTCATTGTACTATTAGAGGAAGCAGGTGAAAGGCATATGGGAACCCTCTGGACCATTTTGCAACTTTTTGCTAAGTCTAAACTTAGTTCAAAATAAGACACAAATAAATAAATAAGTAGTATCCTGCTTTGGACAATAAATTGCACGGTCCCCTAACTAGCTACCATGGACTTGTGCTGACTCCATGTATGTCAAAGAAGAACTGTGCTCCAGAGGGTTTTCAACAGCTGATTTTTCGGAAGTAGATTGCCAGGCCTTTCTTCCAAGCTGCCTCTGGATGACTCAAACCACCAACCTTTCCGTGAGCAGCTGAGTGCATGCTCAATATTTGTTAACTGATCAGTCCCTCCTAAGTCCTACCAGGGTCCCCCTGGTCCCCTGACACCCTCTCCAAGCTCCACCCACTACAAAAACCTGTTGCCCTTGACTTGATTCCGACTCATGGAGACCCCATGTGTTACAGAGGAGGGTTTTCTTGGCTGTAATTCTTATGGAAGTGGATTGCCAGGCCTTTCTTCCTCAGCATCACTGGGTGGGTTGGAACCACCAATCATGAGGTTAGCAGTTGAGCACAAACTGTATGTGCCACCCAGGGGCCCACCTACTACAAAGGCCCCTCTGACCCTCCACTGGCACCACACCACTTCTGCTCTCAGACCCTCAGTGCTTCCCATCATTATGGGGGTGGGGTGCTCACGGCACCCTGCCACAGCACCCGGTGGGGGTTCAGGAAACCCAAAGAGGTTGGCCTGGAGCTCCAGCTGACAGGGCATGGGGCTCGCCACCCAACCGTCCTGTTGTGCAGAACAAACCAAGGCCCCCAAAGAGGCGGTGACCTCTCCAAGGCCTGAGCCCTGTGCTCCCGCGCACACCCAGGCCGCCCCCTCGGCTGGCCCGGCTCCACTGCTGCCCGAAAGTGAGAGAACATGGAAGTCAGACACCCCACATGAAGAGCTTCCCCTAGGCGGGAGCTTCCTGAGGCCCCCTGGGGGCTGCCCAGATCATGACTCACCAGACTGGGGAACAGTAGGCAGAGGCGGAACCCACCAAGCTGAGTCATGCTGGGCTGGGCTGGGCTGGGCAGGCGTCTGGCCCAGGAAAGACTGAGAGAAATCCGGTCTGGGATGGGGCCCAGGGAGGGCGGGGGAGGCCAAGGGGTACCACAGCAGGGGAGGGGCTCTGGGCTACGGCAGAGGCCAAAACCAAAAAAACAAACCAACCTGTTGCCATCGAGTCAATTCCGACTCATAGCCACCCTATAGAACAAAGCAGAACTGTGCCACAGGGTTTCCAAGGAGCAGCTGGTGGATTCAAACTGCTGACCTTTTGGTTAGCAGCCAGGCTCTTTACCATGCACCACCAGCCAAAGCCCCCATCAAACCTGTGTTTCTATCTCTTCCAGAAGGGAAGAATCTAAGCCTTAGCATTGCCTCGTTTGCTTGGTGATATCTCCCATCATCAGAGCCCGTTTCCTCCTACGTCAGGTGGGTCTAACCTGCCCCGCCTGCTACACAGGGTACTGGGGAGGGGGGTGGGACAGCAACGCTTGCCTTAAAAACTACAGACAAGTGAGGGGTGCAGATATCAGTGTTGGGGAGCACTTGCCCCATGTCCTCTAGGGGAAGCAGTGGCTCAGGCGAGACCCAAGGCCAAGACCACAGTGGCCACATCAGCCACTGGACACTCCTGGGTAAAATGCCTTTCACAGAAGGTCCCCTTCGAGGCCAGGGCCACTCACGAGGGAGCACCCCCAAAACAGAGGCCTAGAACAGGATAAAGCAGAGGGCTCATGGCGTGGGATCAAAGAACGTTCTAGGCCTTGCTTGACTCTGGCTACCCTCGGGTTTGTGGGTAACACGGAGCTTGGTGGAATGTGTTATTTCATTTATTCTTCACAGTGGCCGCGGGGAGGGGACCAGCAGCTTCTTCCCTGAGGTGCCTCTCCCTCTTGGGCCTCATTAAACCCATTGCCGTTGAGTCAATTCCAACTCACAGTGACCCTATAGGACAGAGTAGAACTGCCCCACAGGGTTTCCAAGGAGCAGCTGGTAGATTTGAACTGCCAATCTTTTGGTTAGCAGCTGAGCTCTTAATCACTGCGCCGCCAGGGCTCCTTGGGCCTCATTACTATTCCCATTTGCCAGACAAGGAAACTGAGGTGCAGGGAGTCATGGAATTTTCCAAGTCTGTGTGATTCCAATGCCCACTACACCCCTCCCCTATCTTCAAGGGGAGACAAGGAATGGGCACCGACCTGGGTCTGCTGGGCCGAAGCTCCAGATGCGCGCATGGCCACTCACCAGCAGCGGTGCCACCCCCCACCCCCACCAGCCTCATCGGTAACACAGCACTTAACACCTGCCCCAAAGCCTGCAGGGCCAGGGCGGGATGGGGCCTGCAGGTCGCTCCCCACCCCACCTCAGCCATCAGCCCTCAGCCCTCTGCCCAGTGCCAGTGTGTGGGCGCCAGGCCCTACTTCAGCCCAGGGTAGCTTGTTCCAGGATCTGCAGCCCTCTCCCATGTCCCCGGGAGGCTTCACTTCTGGCCAGCAGACCCCAGGCCCGCCCCTGCCCCTGGTGTCTCATCTCCTGGGCCTCTCTGTCCCCATCTGTGAAGTGGGGACTGACCGAGCCAGGGGGCCTCTGGGGACCTTTCTTTACTCTGAAGTATCCCTACTGAAGGTGACAGAAACTGCTACCCAGAAACAGAACCACGTTTTGCCCTTTCTCTGAACCCCTCCCTCTCGGGCTACACCCAGCCCCCCTGGGGCCTCCGCTCACCCTGGAAGCCACCACTGCCCCAGGGACTTCTTTTAAGTCTCTTTCTTGAAATGGAGCCCTGGTGGCCCAGTGGTTAAGAGCTTGGCTGCTGACTGAAAGGTTGGCAGTTTGAATCCACCAGCTGCTCCTTGGAAACCCTATGAGGCAGTTCTACTCTGCCCTATAGGGTCGCTCCAAGTCTGACTCAACAGCAACAGTTTTTTTTTTTTTTTTTTTCCTTTAAATGACTCAAGACTAATCCCCCTCACTGTTTTTGCAAAACTTTTTAATTGTGAAGTAACCAGTGTGACAAACGGGTAGGAAAAGTTCTGGAAAGACCCACCAGGGAAGGCTGGGGTGGGGCCTTGGGGACGAAAAGGGGCAGGGGAGTTGCTTTATCCGGAATGACTGCTTTTTTCAACAAAGAGAGCATTCAGGTATGGATTGCACAAAGATGAGTAGAAGAAAAAATAAACATAAGAAACCAGGTTCAAAAATAAAATGAAAAAGCAACAAGTATGAGGTAAAAAGTACGTCTCCACCCTCTCAGCCAAGCCCTCACCACATCCCTGAGGGAGCCACTGTCAACAGTTTTTGGAAGAACCACCAGGATATTGTCAGCTCTCGCCCAAGCACAAAGGTATGTACACCCACCACCAAATCCACACCCACACCCACCAACCCCCACACCCACACACACCCCACACATCCACCCACCCCAAGCACATCAGGAAAGAAAGTGAAAATGGCCTCCGGAGCTGGAGGGGGAGCGAGGCTGGGATCAGACCACGGCTCCAAAGCCTGGCTCCCACTTCAGCTATGTGCCCTTAGACAGAGGTTCGTGGGTGAGCCTCAGTTTCTCCCAACTCAGGGGGTTCCCTTGGGGACTGGGATACCCTCTGAGCCTCCCTCAGGGGACTCAGGAAGAGGCTGCCTGCCTCTCTCCTGCGCTAAGAGGCCTGCTTACCTCCCCCCTCACTTGCTCCTCAGGATTTCTGACGGCCAGTGGCCTGCGCGCTGGAGCTTCCCGGGAACCGAGTGCTGCCTGCTGCTGTCCTGGGGCAGAGGACCCCACTCAGCCCCACAGACATCCGCCAGAGCCTCCGCCCACATCCCGAGGCCCCGCGTGCGGTCGAAGGCCTGCTGGGTGCGGGGCGCCCTGAGCGGACGCTGCTGCACACAGCCCCCGCGGCCACCCTCTCCTTGCCCCTCTTTTGGAACAGTGCTGTCACTCACCCCTAGGGGAGGCTCCAGTCCCGCCCCTCCTGTCATCCGTCCAAGGGCACACGGCTTGTACCAGGTACCCCTTGCCCTAGCAGGCAAGGCAGAGCGGGCTCCAAGCCCTCTCCAGGCCTTTCTAAGCCTGTAAATCAAGCCCGGGCCGTGGGCTTTCGCCAAGCTGACGCCAGCACTCAGCCGTTTGTTCATGGGGCAGCCCCACGTCCCCTCCAGCCCTACCCGAGTTCCTCTGTACAAGGGGCGGGAGGCAGGTGGGTCCTGGCGGCAGGCAGGCCCGCAGGCAGGTGGGTACGGGGATGCTTCGTTCACTTTAAGCCCCTGAGCACTGGACCGGGAATCGAGGGACCCAGGTTTAAGATCCGACTGTGCTGCTGAACGGCTTTGCGCACACAGCACCCGGATCCGGCCTGGTTTTCCTCCTCAGTGAAATGGGAGTAGGGTGTCTGAGTGGATCATGAGCCCAAGGCCTCCCTGTCATTTTGTGATCCTAATAGTGGCCCCGCGCGGCTCCCGGCCACTCTCGCCACGCTCCTCCGCGCAGTGGGCGGGGTCCGGCCCCTCCCGGCGGTCGGTGCTTCCCACCAGACACGAGTCCCCGGCGGGGGCGGGCCGAGGGCGAGGCGCCAACGTTCCCCTCCGGCCTCCCCGCCCCGCACCCCACGCAGGCCGGAGCAGCCGTACAGGACCCGCACCCCGGGGCCGCCGCCGCCCCGCAGCTAACCCGGCAGCTGAGCCCCCAGCGCTGCCCCTGCCCGGCAGCCGCCCTTCCGGCCTCAGTTTCCCCTTCCCGCCCCTCCTGCCCCGCCCCCGCCCGGTCCCCACTCACCAGCGGATGAGGTTGCGCTCCGAGAAGGGCTCTGCGCGCCGGGAGATGGAGGTGAAAGTCCCCGGGCCGCCCCGCCCCGGCCGTCCGGCCCCGCCCGGCCCCGCCCGGCTTGACTGGACGCCAGCGGCGCGCTTGCATTGCCCCGGGACTGGGAACTCCCTCTCTTTCGGCGGCCCAGCCTGCGGGACGCCCTTCTGCCTCCCTCTCCCATTCCTGCGGCCCCCATCTGCCCCCACTCGCCGCAAGCGGTCCCTCGGCTCCTTCTCCCGCAACGGGGAACGCCGGACGCGGGGCAGACCCAGCCTGGTGCGGATTTGGCCGCTCCAGGTCCCTGCTGTGTGTCCCAGGGCAGGTCGCTTCTCCTCTCTGAACTTCACTTTTCCCATCTGTAAAACGGGGCAACAAACACCGAGGTGCAGAGGAGCAATTTACTTCGCCTGCTGACAAAGCCCTGAACGTCGTCCTGCACAGCAGCTCTGTCCCCCATTCCCAGCGAGCACCCCAGGTCCTTTAGCTGTTGCCCCAAGAGGCCGCGCGCTGCCCTCTGCCCAAGAGTTCCAGTCCTCGGTCAGCCACTTTCTGGCTGGTTTTCTGTCGTCCACCTCTTCATCCGTAAAATGGGCACAGCATCGCGGGACTGATGAGCATGCGACATGGTAATGCAGGCAGGGCGTTCGGAAAGGCTTGGCGCTCGTTGAGGGGAGGCAGCCATCATCACCCCCTCCCGCGTGGGGACGCGTGGCTTTGTCACTGCGGCCCAGGCTGCTTGAGCCACCACAGGCTGCAGCGGCCATGTCTGCCCAAGCCTGTCCCTGCATAGACCTGCCATCTCCTTGAGGAGCAGCCAGAGCCTCAGTAGGCACAGTGGTTAAGAGCTCAACTGCTAACCAAAAGGTCAGTAGTTTGAATCCACCTTGGAAACCCTATGGGGCAGTTCTACTCTGTCCTATAGGGTCGCTGTGAGTTGGAATTGACGGCAATGGGTTCGGGGTTATTTTCTTGGACACTTTTACCTTCCTGTACCCCTTCCTACTTCCATTTAAAAAAACATTAAAAATTATATTTTCAACTACATTAATGTAAAGACAAGTATAATCCAGGCTGGATTATATTCATTTTTCTTCTAATTAAAAAAAAATTAAAACATTTGCGTGGGTTCCTAGAAGTATTGTGGCCCCAGGCGCTCCCTTCCGCTGCTGCCAACCCCACCCGGTGGGAGGTGCCTGGCCGAGTGGCAAGCTGCCAGGAAGACCCATGAAAACAGGAGGCAGGGCCGCTCCCCTCCAGTCTAAACCATACTGCAAGAGAGCTCTAAGTCCATGGGGGCACCTGCAAGGGTGTCCCCAAATACCTGCAGCACCCCAGAGCCAAAGGGAGGGGGAGCTGAGAAGGAGCATCTAAGGTCCCTGCTCTGGTGAAGTTCACACCCCTTTCACAGATGAGAAATCTGCAGGGGACCAGGGGTTCACCCTGCAGAGCCGGATGCTCTGCCCTGCTGTGTCCTGCTGTGTCCTGCAGCCTCCCTCCTCTTCATCCCCACCGCCCCCACCTGAGCCTGGGCAGCAGCCATGGTCTCCCCTGGGCAGTGACCACAGCCCCTAGCTGGTCCCCAGCTCCCCTCTCGTCCTTTCCAGCTGTTGCACATCCTCTGACCACAGCCATCCTCTGCCCAGGACCCTCCGTGGCTCCCACTGCCTTAGAATCCAGTGCAAGCCTGGCATTCAAGGCCCTGCCAAGCTGGCGTCAGGCCAACGACCCCACCCGTTCCCACCTACGTGCCTCTGCACTGTGCCATTGCCTGGAGCACACTTGGTTCCCCACCGTGTGCATCTCCACATGGTTCTCCAGCATCACCCCAGGGAGCTCTCCCAGAACCCCAACTCTGTGCCTCCCCACTCTGAGTAGGCAGTGACCTCCTCCCCTCTAAACTCCACAGCCCTGAGCACTGGGCCTCTCTTGGGGCATTTGGATGTGCCAGCCTCACGGGTAGTGTATAGTGAGCACCTCAGGGTGCCCATGTCTGGGCTGATCCCTAGAGGATACAGCACAAGCTGATGGAGGGAGAAGGCTTGGGAAATACCCTCCCAGTCCCCTGGGGATTAACCCCACCTCACATGCTCAGAGAGGTGAAGTGACGTCCCAGAGGTCACACAGCCCATCAGTGATGCAGCCCAGGATTCACACCCAGGCAGTCCACCCAGGCGGTCCCGGCCTTGCGCTGTGGAACACTGTGCCATTTGCTTCCCAAGTCCAAGTGTGATTCTACTACAGTATTTCCTTATATTTTACTTAAGTATTTATTACATGAGTCATCCGTGTTTAGTGTAAAGCAATGGGAAAATACAGACAGGCAAAAAGAAAAAATAAAGTCATACACCCCTCCCACCACCTAGAGAAAAGCACTGTCAACATCTCCTCTGTATTTCTCTGCCTTTTCTAAGCATGCACGCACGTTCTTTTATGAGAATGTGAACATGCAAGCAACCATTTTGTAACTTGTTTCCTTCCATCAGAAACTTCTTTCTACATTCACAAACATTTGTCTACATTTTAATTGTGAAATGTTTCATACACAGAAATATGTATAAAATATATGTGCACACTTTTAAAAGAAGCCCTGGTGGCACAACGGTTAAGCGCTTGGCTGCTAACCAAAATGTTCATGATTCGAGCCCACCCAGCTCCCGTAAAGATGACAATCTAGTTGCCCCTATAGGGCGGTTCTGCTGCGTCACATGGAGACGCTATGAGTTGAAACTTGACATCACCTAACAATAACAACAACATTTTAAAATAAAAATAATAACACTCCCCAGGTTAACAGAGCATTGCCAGTGCCCAAAAAGCCCCCAGAACACCCTCTCTAATGATGCCTCCCCACCCCCAGAGATGATTTCTATCTTGACTTTTGGGCTGAATATGTCCTTGCTTTGCCTTGGAGTTGTATTAATACCACTTATGTATGTTTCCCTGAGCAATGTATCTATTAGTTTTGAACAGCTGAGGGGTAGCTCATACCTGGCTCAGGGGAGGGTTGAGCCCTCAGACCAGAAGACCCCTGGGAAGGAAAAACTGAACAGAGACTCTGGGGCACAGACTGGCCTCAGTGCCCCTGATCATTGACAAGAGCCCCTTCTGGGGTAGTCAGAGGGCAAGGTCATGGGCAAGGCCTGGGAGACACAGGGCTCCCCACAACAGGACATCTGGCAGGGCTGTGGCATGGGTGTCCAGGCAGGAAATGGTCAGAGAAGTATGTTGTTCCGTCTTCTTGCTTCTGAGCTCATGGTGCCGTATGTTCAGCTCCCAGGAGTAGGGGAAGTTGGACACTTCTGGAAGGTGGAACCAGTGCCCTCAGCTGGCCCAGGCTCCGTCAGCTCATGGTCAAGACCGGCCAAATGCAAATAAGAATCTGGGTCAGGGTACAACGACAGATACATTGATCAATGGAACAGAATTGAGAACCCAGATGTAAATCCATCCACCTACGGTCACCTGATCTTCGACAAGCGCCCAAAGTCCAACAAATGGGGAAAAGACAGTCTTTTTAACAAATGGTGCTGGCAAAACTGGATATCCATCTGCAAGAAAATGAAACAGGACCCATGCCTCACGCCGTATACGAAAACTACTTCAAAATGGATCAAAGACCTGACTATAAAGCCTAAAACTATAAAGTTCATAAAAGAAAAAATAGGACCAACACTTCAGGCCTTAATACATGGCATTAACAGGATATAAACCATAATCATCACGCACAAACCCCAAAAGATAAGCTAGATAACTGGGATCTTCTAAAAATCAAACACCTATGCTTTTCAAAAGACTTCACCAAAAGAGTAAAAAGAGAACCTACAGACGGGAAAAAAATTTTTGGACAGTACAAGTCAGACAAAGGTCTAATCTCCATAATCTACAAGAAAATCCAA